ACGGCCAGCCAGGCGCGCTCCCCTCCGGTGCCCGCGGACTGCCGCCGGCCGCCGCCCTCGGCCGGCGCCGGCACGCGCTGCGTGACGTGGCACCGGCCGCCGCGCGTACCCCACACTCTGTCCGGAGAGAGAGCAGAGGGAGTCACTGAGGTGAGGCGATCATTACAGGTGTACTGTAGATCCCCGCTACCTCAGATGTAGAGGTGATCAGCCGTTCGTGAGCAGGAAACAAAGCGGTCACATGCCTTCAACAGGAACAAACAAGGGGCATACTTGAATGAAATGGAGCAGATATTCGGCGACGAAGCCAGCCAACGATTCGACAATAGCCCCACAGCAAACGACGTCGTCGACTTGAGATGTCAAAATGCAAGCACAAACTTCATGCTGTGAGTATCGATGGGCAATTTACCAAAAATGAAAGCACCACTACTAAGTGGTTAGGCTGGTACGCTCAACACATGATTTCTTATCCATTTCCACTTGTCCACCGTTTACCTACAGCTTTAGTTTCTTTTATTGATGATGATTCACTGGATATTTACTGGATATTTAGTATTTACGGTATCTGGGGTCGGCCAGAACGATATTTACGGTATCGTCCTGGTCAACCCAAACAACGAAAATGCTATTCTACTCACCGTATGGTTTTGTCTTTGGAGGCCGAGGCGAGCAGGTGATCCTGTTCGAACGAGAGCAGTGTGGTCAGCTCGGGGCACCAGCTGATGGACGTGACGTCATCATCGTGACCGCGCAGCTTCTGCAGCACCCGGCCACTGGCTGTGGAGGGGGGGAAGGGGAGAGGGTCACCGGCTGAGAGGTGGCTCGGGGGAGGTGCACTTTGGGGTTATTATGCACAAATCTGGCGATATGGGCCATCTGCAAGTGAAATTTCACCTAAACTGGCTACCACCCACGGATATTGGCTGCACGTCTTCCCTTCCCTACAACCCGTGCTCCGCTCACCGGCGAGGGAGACTGTCCAGAGGAGTCCGCGCTTCCCAGCCACGGCCACCACGTGCTCGGTGTGCGGCGAGCAGCGCAGCTCGGTGGGCGCCATCTTCTCCAGGAACAGAGTGCGCGTTGTGTGAGCCACCGTGTCCCAGACGACAAACGTGCCGCGCTCGTCCACCGAGATCGCCACGTGCGGCGAGCGCGCCGCGTGCGCCACAGCCGCCACCTTCAGCTTCTGCGGGCCCGGGCCACAGCGGGGTGGGTGCCGGTAAGGGATTTGTAAAGGGAGAACGGTTACCGCCTAGGTAGCTGGTCAAATATCGTGAGCAGAGCACTTTAGGGTTTTACGATGTATATTACACTCTGAGAAAAAAAAATCACGGTGACTATAAATAAAAAAAATCATGAATCCGGATAAACTTATGTCCATCGTCATTTTGACAAGACCTTATCAAATACGTTTAACAGGAGACTACATTTCTAATGAAACAGGGAGGTCATATCAGCCAGTTAACTAAAATACCGGTAAATGAGTGAATGCCAGGGCCTATACATAACATATCCAATCTCTAACGCTGACGACGCTGTGTCGTCAAAAGCTCACCCCGTGCGCACTGTGCTGCTTCTCACAGTGGTACCGAAACCGGCCCTCCTCCTCTCCAACCTCGCACGTCCACAGTTTGACCAGGGCGTCCTCCCCGCAGGAGACGACCGAGACAGCGCCGGGCGCGTGGCGCCACACGACAGCGCCCACCACGCGCTCCCTGTGGGCGTCCTCTACGACGCCGTGGTGGTGGAGCGACGGCGCGCCGCCGGCGGCCGTGGCCACCGGGCCGGCCAGCAGCAGCGCTTGGCGCGCGCAGCCCACCAGCAGCCGGTCTCCGTCCGACGCCAGCGCGCCGGCGCTGTACCAGTTGGCCGACGGCGTCAGACACACCGTCTTCATGGCAGCGACTGTCACTGATCCCTGCAGGAAATGAGAAACATATCAGATTTGGTAGCGAGCTTCACTTGTGTCTGAATTTCAGCCCAGTTACCAGATTGAATAGAGTATTTATCTATCCTGCCACATCAGGACCCCATGAGTGGCGACACCTTTACTGCTCATCCTCACACCCTAACAAGCCATTGCATGTCACCATTTGACGGGACCCCAGCACCAGGAAGACCACTCTCAAGGCAATAGCTATTACCTTCATAAGCCTGGAACCACATTTCTGGACAAACATACTCGTCCTCATAAGCCAGCGATAATATATTGAGGCAAGTGGATCATGTTGAATAGCTTGTATCACACACAGAGGTCAATTCCCAGTAAACATGCCGACGTCGGCCCGACGTCGGCCGACGTCGGGGTGACGTCGGCAACTCGGCATCGACATGCCGACGTCGGCCCGACGTCGGTCCAACCTCGGCACGACGTCGGCTGGATGTCGGATATGCCCGCATGTTCCGACGTCCAGCCGAGGTCCAGCCGACGTCGGGCCGACGTCGGACCGAGATCAATTGCTGAGGTCCAGCCGACGTCGGGCCGACGTCGGGACGACGTCGGACCGACATCGGCCGCTGTTTTGACCGTTAAAATAATATAAAATACATGTTTCATGTTTCATAAAGAGCTTCTGTATTCAAAAAATCCTCAGGAAACTCAAATCTTCCTCCACGCCGCAACCCCCTGATCCGGACTGGACGGGAAACTTTATCCCATTTGGGATTGCCCGTAAGCCGAGCTCGCCCGTAGCCAGGTGCGGTGAGTGCTTGGGGGCTGCTCGGCCTATCCTTTGGTCAGGCTCAGCCCCGGCAACTCACCAGAGCCGGGCTTAGTTCATATAGAAAGGCCAGTCGGCAAGTGTCACTTTGCCGAAGTGCCACTTATCAAAGGGACACTTTGGGAAACGTTGGTGCAGGTGTGTAAGAGTGGCTATATGAATCCATTGTGGGGTCGCCCTTTCCAATAAGTGTCACGTAACAGCAATGGGACCAGGGACTCTATATGAACTGGACCCAGGGTGCTCGCCAAGAAGACCAATGTCTCCATCATATGATCCTTCCGGCTCTGAAATGGTCTTGTCAGACCGAAAGGGCATAACGCAACAAAACAAACCAAATTCGTTAGCTGGCTGCGTGGTGTAGTGGTTAGCGCACTAACCTCGCGTTCGAATGACACGGGGTTCGAATCTCATCGCCGGCTGATGCTTTTGGCGTGTTGTCCCAGTAAACATGCCGACGTCGGCGACTGGGGGGCTCGAATCCCGCCGCCGGTTGATATTTTTGGCGCGTTGTCCCAATAAACATGCCGACGTCGGCCCCGTCGGTCCAGCGACAAACGATCTCGTCAACCTCGGCAAACGATCTCGGCCCGACGTCGGCTCGACGTCGGCTGGACTTCGGCTGGACGTCGGAACATGCGGGCATATCCGACGTCCAGCCGATATCGGGCCGAGGTTGAACCGACGTTGGGCCGACGTCGGGCCGAGCCTCGGCCCGACGTCGGGCCGACGTCGGCATGTTTACTGGGTTTGATTCAATTACCCCAGCTTGTCATTTGTCAAAGTTACCCCAGGTTTTCAGGTAGCCTCATTTTACACTTTACAGTATATGCATCCTCCTGTTACCCAAAATGGAATTGTGCAAACAATCAGACAGAACAGAACAGTCCACTTCAGGACTTATAAAAGCTCAGCATATTATTGGCTTTCACTCTGTCAATCCATCCATTCATACTGTGAGAGGCGAGCTCCAGCCTCCCAGTCCCAGGCTTGAGAGCCTGCCTCAGCATATGGTGGCCGCCGTTAGGCGTCATTTCATTGATAAATTTTTCATATTTTTACATTATTTGACATCCTGAATCCAAAAATGATACTCATATGTCTCACAAATAGAAGAAAAAACATAATCAAACCTGACCTAACCTTACCTACTTACCTATAACCTACCAACCTATAACCTACAAACCTACAACCTAACAACCTAAAACCTACCTACCTACCTACCTACAACCTACAAACCTACAACCTAACCTAACCTAAAACCTAAAATTTTTGCTGTTACATATTTGTATCAACAGCATCACAATTGTAGTTAGGACCTAAACTTAACATACAGGCGTCATGTGACCTGTGCCTCGGAGGACCCGGCGATGACTGGTCTTTGCAGTCAGCAGTGAGTAGGTAATGCATGCGGAGATCACAATACAATTGAACTATTGCTATAGATTGAAAATGAAAGAGGTTAAGGCCAAAAGTATGCTGTTTCCTTGCACTTTGACCTTCAGGCTCCAAAAACTATAACAATTTCAATATCTTGCAAAGCTCATTCATTTGCTTGACAAAATATCTAACACTAGTTAATTCACACAGACAGAAAGATATGAAATGCACACTTATTTGACTTATTTACCTCAACCGTGAATCAGACTTCAATTTGACTGCATACAAGTCGTATCAGTATCCATCAAGGGGCCTAAAATTGAAATATAAAATCACAAGCAAATAAAATGGGTCTACCTGGCTACAACATCAAACACGTGTGTAACATGTGTGCAGCCACTGAACTCTATAATGTGTGCAGCTCACTCCGCGTTCGATGTCTCTCGGACAACGGAGATTCTACGTCGTCCGGCCAATCACGTTCAAGGTCAGTGGGGGCTTGGCTACGATTATGGAACGTGATTGGCCGAATGACATAGAATCTTCGCCGTCCGAGAGTCATCGAACGCGGGGCCAATAAAATTAAGTTATATCGATAAATATTGATATTAGCTGCCATAAAATCCTATGACGTTATGATACAAACAACAATGGGCGTTCTAAAACTGCTGTTTTCAAGACTGTTACATCAACAGCCTTACCCAAAATATAATTTAAAATTGCATTCAGATGGAGCAGGTGAATATGAGCATATACACTCTAAGAAAGTGTTATTTAAATATCATTAGCAAACGTGTAACATTAAAGATCAATGACGTCATCAAAAATCTGTTTTTCGTAGACAAAATAACTTTTATCATCGGATGCCATATATTTACCCGATTTACCCTATATGTCCTATATGTTATGTCCTATATGTGTTCTACGCGTCCTATTCCAACAACAACAACAACAACAACAACCTATATGTGTATATATTATATTGATATGCAAGATTCTTACAGATAGTATATATTGATATCCGAAGGTTTGTTGTCAATAGTTAAAACACTATTCTTCAGAATTTGTGTTTTGTTTTGTGTTTTGAATTGTGTTTTTCTATTGAAAAACAAATCTGAGTTCCCTGACAATTTGGTAAAAGCTGCCTGAGATCAGTATATGCTTTATATGTCGTATGTATATGGCTCTATCTATAGATGGCCTTTGGCTTCTTAGAGTGCTACTTCTATGCAAGGCCCTAAACTTTACTTCAACTTTATATCAATAACAATATGGCCTTGCTTCAACCGTGAATCGGACTTCAACTTATACAATTAGTTGTATCAGTATCCAGCAAGAGTTCTCTATATACTGTGTATGTACCGAGTGCCAGTGGGTCAATTCAGTCAATTACTGATGAGATTCTCAACTTGAGACTTGAGAGTGAAAATATACTTACCTACGTAGGTACTTGAGATTTGAGAATCTCAAATTTACCGCCTACTTATAGCTTTACAAGGTGTTTTCAATGATCATTGACCGTTTTCTTGCCAACCTCTCCAGAGCTTTGCAGATCCACCTTGCTCTTGCTTGAACAGCAGCCATGCTGCTCCGGCTTCCGGGTCCAACTCATAAGAAAGCCACCCAAGTGGATCTGCGCCGGCCCAGCCTGACCACGCTACTTAACCGAGTGACCAGGGCTGACTGGCTCAAACTCACGGATTGTCAGCAGAGGATGCAGCATGCTCTGCAAAGATACATGGTAAGCGGCAAGCGCCACTGAGGCGCAGCGGGCAGTGCACTGCATTAGACTCACTGTTGCAAGGTCTCTGCTTATATCCTGACTCAGAGAAAGTCCCTGTGAATTGGTGCTACATCTATATAATCAATGATAGTCTGTTCTTTGATGTGGAGCTGTGAGATCAATTAAATAATAAAGAGGATGTTGGCATAAGAATGCCATTACCTATTGTGCTAGCTGAGCATTCTGTTTCCCCCTTTCTTCCACACACAGTTTCTGACAAGTGACAAGTTACAGTTATCCAGATAGTCATTTTCTGTTGTTTTCCACCCCTGTGACAATTTTACTGTTGATATCATTTTCTTTTTCAGCATTTAAAACACCAGCTAGGTGAGAGTGCATCCCATCCGGGGATGCAGCCATCAAATGTGTACATCGATGGAATGAATCGAGCGCTGGAGAGAATGGAAGCGATCCAGGCCGAGCAGGTGAGGTTTTCCATGGGGACGATGGTAAACATATTTTTGTACTGCATTAGGTCTGTTTGGTGGTGAATGAGCTAGCGCAATACATCGCTTTGATTTATAGGGATTCATTGGGAAGCGGCGTGTGCATATTGATACGGCCACGGGAGCCGAGGAATGAGCTTACATCCTTAACCAGTCATTACATACAAGCCAACAAGCATCGATAAACATTGTGCTTTTTATGTGACAAGCAACAATCATTGTAAAAAAATACATTCACGGCACACGACAACCGTTCAAATCCTCGGCACTAGATGTATCCAGATGCTGTTTCACAACAAATATGCAATATGCATGTTCGGTTTGCGAGTTCAGCTCAGTCACCGGGCGCGGGAAGCCGGTTCACGGATTGCCATAGTTTGCCCGCCTGGACAGTGGACAGATGCTGTTCTGTCTCTCCTTGGTCGTGAAACTTGTTGATCTCGCTCGACACACGTGGAATATGTACATAGCACTCAATAAGACAGTAACGGGTGTATACTATTTTTTGCACAAACTTCAACACAATGATACTCATATATTTTAATTTCTCCTTCATCAAACTTTCCATGGTACTACATAAATTATTTTTCTGTCCGGCTGACATCAGTGCACGGTGCTGTTCACGCCAAGCCAGGCAGCACGGCGCACGCGCGCTGGGAGTGTCCCCATCATCTTGTGCAGCACTTCCTTGTCGAGTGATCGCATCACGCGATGAATGCGACGCGACGATATGTTCCGTTTATCCAGTAAGTCGATCGCGCTATCCATTCGCTGCCGACGGGCTGTGCAGTTCCTGTCTTGCTGTCATCCGCATGGACTTCGCTCCGTCGGACGGCCCAGTCGGGGAGCCTCGAGCGATCCGTGGGCCGCCCGAGCCGGTCATCGTTCACCGACCAACAGCTGAGATCCGCAGCGTAAACCCTTCGGCGGATATCGAGGGCAGCACGCTGGTCTCCGCCGCACCGTCCGACGGCGTATATATTCCAATTACGGTCGATGGCACGTCCTGGACTCTGGTCCCTGCGCCACTGGCAGCTCCCGTCACCTGTTCGTACGACGGCGGCGGCTGTGACGACAGGGCCACTGTCGCCGCCAGAGCGTCTCTGTAGCGGGGCGGGGGGTCCTCCGGGGCCGGACGGGGCGGTGCCTTACCCTGGTTCGGAATTGCGGGGGCCGGTACCGACCGTTCGATAGAGTACCGCGGCGGCATTGGGGGAGGCGGCGGAATTGTCGGCTGGTGCTGCGGACGAACTGGCTGAATTGTCGTCGATGGGTGGGCACTCGTCTCCGCTGGCCGGTTTTTAAACTTCCTTACAGCTTTTATTCGTGTCCGCAAAAACACAAACGCTTTGTGACAAACGAGCCCTACTAGGACGAAGATACACGACACTACTGCGGCCAAAATAACCGTCCCACAAGCAAAGGCAATGCTGGATGCCACACTCCACATGTCTGGTTCATAGCTGGCTGTTGCTTGCGCCGCCAGTCCGGCTCGGCGGTTGACAGTCGTGGCAGGAAATGGCCAGCTCATCGTCTGCCATGGAACTCTGCTCGATCGCTCCCTGGTTGATGCGTCTGTCCTTGTTGAGATGTCAGCCAACGGGGCGATCAGTATCGCACACCAATCAGCTCACCAGTGACTTGCACCGGTCGGCTCACGAGCGACACACACCAGTCGGATCACCTTCCACACACCAGTCCTCACACCAGCCACACACCAGTCCACACACCAGCCTCACACCAGTCCTCACACCGGTCGGCTCACTGCGATGAGTGGAGTGGTCCCCGCGTGGCCGGCCGACCGTCACCCACTGGCCGCCCGCCCCGGCTGTCCTCTCCGAGCCTCTGCGACACGCCCGCACAGTGCACTGGAGGCTGACATGTGAGTCAGAGGCAGGTTGCGCAAGCATTACCAAAAAATAAACCGATAGAGGCATACTGGAAGAATATGCAAATGCATGCACTTTCTCTCCAGTCTTAGGCGGGCCATGAGGAAAAATATGTGCTTGCTTGCCTTCCACCTTTGACTTGGAAATTCAACTTAAAAATGTTATATTATTCAATAAGTGTTGTCGAGTCATGAAATGATGGAACCAACCCTGAAACATACAATACCCCGTAGTGGGGAATCTCGTTTTATGCTGGAATAAATTAGATTTGTGTATAAACTACACATCTCCTCCCTCGCTCGCTCGGTGGTGACCTGCTGCCGGCCGCCGGTGACCCCCAGTCGGAGATCCTGGACCCGGTGCGGGAACAGATGGCCGCCGAGGCGGCGCTGAAGCTGCCCTCTCCGCTGCACCCGGTGCCGCCGCGGCCGCCGTGCTCGCCGCCGCCGGAGCAGCCCCAGGTGCGACTGGTGATCGAGCCGCGCAACCAGCTCAAGGTGTCGGTGGAGGTGCTGATGGAGACGGCGCCGGCGCTGCGGCCGGCCGCCCGACCGGCCTCGGCCCGGCTCCGACAGAGGCGAGTAGAGCGGGGAGGGACGGGGTGAGTCGAGCGGGGAGGGGCGGGGTGAGTCAGAGGCGGAGAATGCCGAATTGGGGTCAGAGTATAGGGTAAATCGGGGGGAGGGTGGGTTAGAACCAAGGGATATAAGGCGGATTGAGTCAGAGTCACGGGCGGGGAATCTGGGGCCGGGTGAATCACAGTCGGGACGGGTCAACTAGGGTCGGTGACACTGTCGCTAGTAAACTAGGGCGGCATGCAGATTAGATGGGGGACAGCGGTGCCCGTTTATATATTCGGGTAACCACCTGACCGGCACTGTGTCGCCTTCCCTATCAGTTTGGCCGCAATGTAATGCATTCAATGTGATTCAGACATCTCCAGCCGCGTGCTTCACCGCTCCCCGGTTGCTCGATTGCACCGTTAAAAGCTATTTAGTCCTACGTAACCCTGATACCCTCATGTATATCATTGTTAGTTCAGTGCCCGTTCATGGCAGCCGCTTTCTCTCCATTTCTAACCTGCGTTACATCCTCTTGCAGTCTACAGAAGCCCGTCCCGTCGGCGCGCGCGAGTCCCGAGACGGAAGGCGACTCGATGACGATGCCGGACCCGGGTCCGGAGCCGCCGCCGTCGGAAGACTACCGGCTCAACATACCGCGAGACTCGGATCCGGAGCGGCACGCCAAAAACTGCCACATGGCCGCGCTTGGTGGGTCAGCCGGCGTCAGAGCCGTGTGGAGTGGGACACTGGCTCTCTGGTCACGCAGGCTGTAGTTACTGACTCGATTCAGTACTCTGGTTCAGCCAGCTGGGCGAGGGGGGGGGAATGTGTTTGCGTTTTCGAGCGAGCGATTTAGCGCATCTTTTGAGCCGACGGATAATGGGTTCAGCTCTGGTTCAGTTTGTGATGAAAGGGGAGTAGTAAGAACAGCTGTACTCCAGTTCGATCCGCGCACTAGTGATAACGAAGGGATAGGTGTGAGGTGGAACTCACAGGGTTTCAGTTTCTCAGCTGAATCCAGCTTTCAATCTCAGCTGGATTTTGTATCCTTCAGTTCGTAACTCGGTGATAAAATGTTCTGTGGTTCTGTCACACATTCAAAACAAACTCAGCCTCGTTCTCTCGGTCGTTTCCAGCGACCCAACCACCCGTGGCACCTCGCCTGCGGAAGCTGGGTCACAGTCACCTGACCTGACCCGCCCCCGGTCGGCCCGCAGGGTTAGTGGCGTCCGAATTCGCCGAACGGTTGAAGACTAAGGTCCGCCACAAGCCGCGCCGACAGGCATTCGACATGGCCATGGACGGCTTCATCCACGCCGCTCTGGTGAGATAGTTGACCTTTCATCCACGCAGCAATACTTTCCAGGGTTTACCATTTTAACGTTGTTAGTCGTGAATGATCTGGCGATTTCGAAGCTGTTTTATGGTTACTATTAAACTAGGGTGCCTGTGTGGTCCTATCTTACAGCATATCTTAACCCGCGCACCGACGGGGGGGGGGGCGGATATCCGCCCCCTACGCGCCGCGAAATTTGGTATGACTATTCCCTCATCAATTTTACACATGGTGTGCAAGTTTGAACCTCCTACCTTTCAAGGTCAGGTCACCAGGTCACTTTGAATGACCCAACCTCAAGTCACTTTTTTGCAACTTTGTCACCGTGCCAGAGCTACAGTAGATGTCGGAGGCCTTTGAAAGTCGCAGGATGTTATTAGGTCATTAGTAGCTACAATTTGTATATCTCGGAATTTTGATATCGGTGACCTAAGGTCAGGTCAATTTCGCGACCTCCCCATTATAAGTCAATGGGGGAAAAATCAACTCCCTGTTTTTACCACTAAAACGGGTCAGAATGGCCCCATATACCATACATGACTTCATATACGATCAACCTTCACTACCTTGAGGTCTGTTTTGCTGTTGGGCAGCTGTGAGGTCATGTGACGTCATCAAAGGTCACCAAAGGTTTTTGGCCAATAACTCCGTACAGGAACAAGATACAGACGCGTGGATGGTCTCATTGTGTTCAGCTCGTCAAGACGCATCGAATGATATACATGATGACCTCGAGGTCACGTGACCTGAGGTCAACCTTTGACCTTGATCTTTCGAGGTCAACATATATATCATTCGATGCGGATTGACGAGAGGATCACGATGCTGCCCTTAGTTTGTTCCTATCTTGACTAATTCGAAAGTTATTCGAGAAAAACTCTCTCCATATTCAGCGCCGCCATTTTGACTTTTTCGACCCCTGTGACGTCATCTTTGACCTGACCTGAAAATGACCTTAGTAAAAATTGTAGATCTTGACCGTGCGTATCCGATGCCGTTTACCGCTTGTCGCTATCTTGCTTCGTTCTCGAGATCTCAGGGGGGGCGGTCATCCGCCCCCCCCCGTCGGTGCGAAGTTGGCGCAGGCCGCAGACCCCCGTCGGTGCGCGGGTTAAGCTTGACTGCTCCTCTCGCCAATTCAGTTTTTTTCTTTTACCCCTTGCGATGCCTCTGCGCGCTACTCCCTTGGTCACTCAATAACCGGCGTTACGATCTGTTTCAGCGTAAGCGGAAGGCGTTCGTTGCGCCGTCAATAGCGGCTAAGCGGCCCCGCGTGGACGGCAAAAAACGGAAGAACCGGAAGGCTCGCGCGGGATGCTCGTCCCGCGCCACCAGTCCCGTGACGGAACCAACGTCCCGCGCCACCAGTCCGGTGGCGGAGCCAATGTCTCAAGCCGAGAGCCCAGAGACAGAGCCAGTTTCCAGAGCCGTGAGCCCTGAGACGGAGCCAGCGTCTCAAGCTGCCAGTCCAGATGCGGAGCCAGTGCCGCGGCTCGGAACTCCTCCCCCTGAGGTGACATCTCGGACCGGCAGTCCCACGGGCGAATCGCCGACGGCGCTCAACCATGCCGGTGATGTGATGGACGCGTCGGCGCCTTCTGGTAGCTCCAATGTGGCATCAGCACCCGGCGAGGACGCGGGAGGAAAGGAAGCGGCGCAGTCGGAGGATCCAGCCGAGACTCCGGCAGGCGCGGGGCCAGTCCCCGAATCTCCTGCCAATGGCTCGGCCAACCAGCGAACGTCTCCCTCCAAATTCAGCGCGATGAACGGAGGCTGTGGTCAGGTGGACAGCCTGGCGTCCGGTGGTGCCGGCTCAGGGACGAGTCCCGCCTCCCCCGGCGGGGACGCCCAGCCGGGTGACGCTGCCCCGGAGCCGGCCGTTCCTGTCCCGGACACCACAGCGGACCCTCCCCGTGTCCCGGCCGAGGGGTCCGCGGTGCCGACGGCCCTTCCTCGGTTCGTGGGCGTGCACCGTCGCCGGTGTGAGCGGTGTGACGGCGTGGGCCAGCTGCTGACGTGTGACACGTGCCCGCGCGTGTGGCACACCTCGTGCCTGGGGACGCTGCCTGCCGACGACGTCCAGTTGTGGAGCTGTCCCGACTGTGAGTCCGGTGACGGACGGTGGTCGGAGTCGGACGCAGAACGGGAGGAGGGCGAGCCAGACGGGCGGAATGGGACTGAGGTGGATGGAGAGGAGCAGGGAAGCGACGGAGAGGAGAACGAGAGCGGCGGAGAGGAGTGTGTAAACGGAGAAGGAAGAAATACTGACACGGAAGAAGTGAGCGAGGATAGAAAAGACGACGAAGAGTGGGAAGAGAGCGGTTTAACTTTGGAAGTCGTTGGTGCTGAAGAGGCATTTTCTTGGTCGGAAGATATCGACAATGAGGAAAAAGACACAGAAGATAAACTAACGCTAGATGAGTGTGACAATGAACAATCACATGATAACAGTAAGCAGATGGAAGGCATTGAGAATGACACCGACAATTGTGAAGGAGATATATGCAGGACTGCAGATGGAGATAGTACCGCAGAGGCAGACGAAGGCATGCGAAACGGGGACCAGGAAAGGTTCGAGGAGGATCGTGACGAAGAGAACACAGACTGTGCGGTGGAGGAGAAGGCTGGTGAACATCTACAAGACAACACTGATTCCATGCAAGGCATCGAAAATGAGGATAATACAATGCGCAAAACTACCGACCGGGATGTTATCGCAGATGAGTGCATGCGTATCGGAGGAGAGGAACTAATTGAAGAAGGTACAGACAATATGGAAACCCAGACAGCTACTGGTGATGATCGAACACAGGCCACAGGACGACCAGGAATGCATGGAAGTTTTGGGGAATGAGAATTGTGACCACTACGAAGAGGTGATCTGCGAGACTGTTGGTATCGATAATGTCCTGAACGAATACGAATGTGGGCGTGAAGAAGAGGAAATGGTCGAGGATGACGAGTTGGTTCAGCGGGTGATTGATACAGATGATCCATTTCAAGAAAAGAAGGATGTGCAGAATGGAGAACAGGAAGACATGGTTGAAGGTGATCTTAAGAAAGAGGACGGCGATAGAGGAAAGTAACAAGGCCAGAAGGCTGAACAGGGAGCCGTAGAATGTGAAACTCGGACATCAAATGCTGACAAAGAAAACGAATAAGCTGTAAGAAGACAGATGACAGGTTGGATAAAGAAGACTGGTTGCCAGTCGTCAGACAAGTTCAGCTCGTCAGTGCGCTATCCCGGGGAGCGCGAGCTGCTGCCTTCGTCCATATTTGACGAAGGACAACCGGTGTCGAACAATTCTGAGCCAAGGAGGCAACGGTTGACTTTGAGCATTTGGAAGCATTTCATCGCGATACTGCGGAGTAACGTGTGGAACTGTCAATGATGCGATTGGCATTCGTCTAGGAAGCCAAAGTCGGGCCAATTGTCCAGGAACCACATTTAGATACTGTGTACGCGCCATGAAGAGGGACTACCGTTCGCGGTGTTGAATGTGATGCTGGAGGGACTTGTCGGCGCGGGGCTCAGCGTTCCTCGACAGAAATTGTCTGTGATACCGCGTTCGCTTTTGTAAGTTTCGTTGTTGGGCTGTGTGTGATGTGAGATGTTGATGTGAGATGACTGTCAGAGCGGTGGCTTTGGATCTCATTCGTATCAGCAGGTGTAAAAAATGTGACATGTACATAAGTGTACGGAGACTAGATATGAAAATATACTCCGATGTAACTGATTACCTCGTGTGCTATTGTTGTGACGCGTCCCCGTCACTTCCCAGCACGGTGGAATTTAACAGAACGACAAAGACGCGCGCCGTCATAAGGACAAGGTAGGCGATGATCCCAGTGGGTGCGGGCGTAGGCCGTTCCCAGTAGAGCGTGCTCTGTGCGGCAGCCTCTGACCGGCCTCAGTGCCGCCTATTCCGGACGCAATGAATGCGGACGATAGCCGGCGCAGGGCCCCGAGTTCTAGCGGCGTGCAGCATGCATAAGTTGAACAGCTCTAGGAACTTCGCCCAACTATAGTCATGGTTAAATCCTGATTTCCATGCGACCCGCCGCTTTGACCGGTCTGCCACACGTGTATGTACATACGCGTGTGTGTGTGTGTTGGGGGGGGGGGAAGGGGGATTAAGAGACACAATGCGCACGAAAAGCACATTTGTAAGAATATATTGACGGTTGTCATATATAAACACTTCATCCTAACACGAGCAGAACGCTGGGGGCGTGCCGCGACGCGAGCAGCGACGGGCCGCCCCTAGCTGTCGTCGCTCTCGTCGTCCTCGTCGGGGTCGTAGTCGTCGTCGTCTTCGTCGCTGTCGCCGTTGGTCTCGCTGAACACGTAGCCGGTGGCGCTGTAGGCTGCGGAGAGCACAGGTCGGAGAAGGAACGTCAGTGCCGGCTCACAGGCCGCTGCCTGACGGAGCGTCAGTGCCGGCCTCTCCGGTAGTCTCAAAAGTAAACTCGATTCGCGATCAATTTTTTTTTGCAAGAAGAGTTGGCTATATTTCGTAAAACGCAGAAATGCGATGGGACAGAGGCTTGTCAAAACGTTAGAATAAAAAAAAAAGACTGCGTGAATCGTAAATAATCCTCCGTAATCCTTCCGCTGGCGTACATTGAAGTCCAGTAAGAAAAGAGCTTTCGTCTAGTGAAAAATAGCTTAAATGGAAAATGGATAGGTCAGTTTTGGTTAGGCCCACTGTGCTGGTCCGCTGGCCCACTGTGCGGTGGAGGCGTAATATCGTGACGTCACAGCCAGTAGTGATTTACATACCCGGCTTCCGATTTCTCTCAGACGAAGCTACACCGTCCGGCCAATAAGGTTCCATAACCGCAGCCGAGCCCCCGCTAACCTTAAACGGGATTGGCCGGACGACGTAGAATCTTCGTCGTCCACTCCGAAAGACATCGAACGCAGCGTTACATAGTCAGAGTCTGCTCTCGCCCACACCGGAGAGAAATCGCTCGCCAGACGGCTGTGCAATGTGCAGTGCACACTGCACGTGCACTCGCCCGGGCCAGGGAACTCCCCGCCGCTTCCCCGGGCACGCGACAGGTGTGATGGCATGGCGGTGCGTCACACTCCACGCCCAGTTAACTGCGTGCCAGTCGCGTTACTGGGGGAGGGGGGGGGGGCAGGGAACTACCACGTAATGCGAATTGCAAGACTCATCAAGGGAATGTCCTATATATGGCCTTGGGAATGTCAAAGGCCTATTATTATGGAAACAATATGGAAGGGTAGGTTGTGTGCACTCCCCCCCCTCCACCCCTTGTGTGAAAAGTGCAGCCTGTATCTCTGAAACAGAAGTAAAAAAACGTTTTACAACGGTTTCTGTTATATCGCGATATATCGCGACACGACGAAGTAGCCGAGATGATTTCACGAACAAAGTTGAGAAGCAACAATACCTACTGTGTGAACCCAACAACAGAGTGAAGTACACGAATTAAATGCCGAACATATTAGCTGGCCTTTGACTTAATATCACCTCAAACTTGCCTCAAACCCAGTGTGTCACACATCAACGCCTCCCATTTTGGCCGTCCAAGGTGAGCCTCCCGTGCACAGTGCGTCATACCGCCGGAGGCTACCGTGAGACCGCCGCTGCGCACCACGGTATAACGAGTTCTGTGCACGGAGACGTGCTTGTGGCTGGCGTTGGCTCAGTCGTGCAGGGGCGCTGCATCACCACTGTGACCCAGGTGCGTGGTGTATTGTGTAGTTGGTGACCCGACTGGCGTGTGGGCTGGTGCACCGGCTGGTGTATGTCACTGGTGCGTCGACTGGTGTGTGTCGCTGATTGTCCACTCCGATACCACCTCGCCAGACAGGTGCGTCTTCCAAAGAGCGCTCGAGTATAGAGCCATCCTACAGACGAGAAGCTCGATGATCAGCCGCACGGCTACCAACTGCCGCACCAGATTGCAGCGTTTGTGATACACGATAGACGTGAACTAGCGATGCCGGCGCGCACAGCTGAATTAGCACTGCTAATGTCGGGGATATATTTGGCGTGTATTTTTTTCTGGGTACTATTACGAATCTGCTGTCCTACGCGCGAAAAACATGAGGGATCAGCGGAAGAGTCGACCAGCGATCGAGAAGCACGGTCTCCACGGACTGGACATCACGACCACCCATCGGAGGCCATTGCGCAGATTCGGCCGCTGCGGCAGCAGCTGATCACGCCGGATTTCTCGCTGGCGACGCGGTACTCGGCCGCGTGGCTGGACCTTCAGCAATCTCGTCCGCTGCACCAGCCGACAATTCCGCCGCCTCCCCCGATGCCGCCGCGGTACTCTATCGAACGGTCGGTACCGGCCCCCGCCATTCCGAACCAGGGTAAGGCACCGCCCCGTCCGGCCCCGGAGGACCCCCCGCCCTCGTACAGAGACGCTCTGGCGGCGACAGTGGCCCTGTCGTCACAGCCGCCGCCGTCGTACGAACAGGTGACGGGAGCTGCCAGTGGCGCGGGGACCAGAGTCCAGGACGTGCCATCGACGGCAATCAGAATATGGACGACGACGGACGGTACAGCAGAGACCCATCGACAATGCTCAATAGTATTTCAGCAATCACCACACCAACGATTCTGAGTCAAACCATTCAAACTGAAGACTGGGAACGTGCAGGGTGGGCAGAGGGCAGCTAAAAATGGATTCTGTGCAGCTCAAGATTGTGTATCAAAGCAAAAACATTGTTGAAAACAAAAAGACGAAAACAAAAACAACCCAACTCTGTCTAGCGAGGAGGAAAACGTTTCTACCAGTCTTTCATCACGCATTTTCCGACAATAAAAACAGACCTTATGTTCGAAACGAGGACGCTGTGCTAGTCCACGGGCATTGGTATAGACGAATGGCGTAGACTAATGCGTTTTCGGAAGTATTGCCGATCAAAACGGAATGGCCTGCATTGTATTCATATTGCGCGTCAGTCAATGATAGCATATCACCACAGGCTGTTGGTAGTGTACTGCTGGAGATGTTATCATTCAGTTTCCTCGCTGGTTGCCGTTTGACATCGTGGACAGTATTGACATTGGCGTCTCCTTCTGTGTGACTGGTGGATGGCCGCTGAGTAACCCAGTCTGGGGCGTCAGTTGCTTTGGAAGATTCCGTAGACGCCACTAACTGTATGGCCAGTCTAGAATGGCCAGTCTAGTTGGATGCCGCAGTTGCATACCGACTACGATCTTAATAAAACTTAACATGATTGGTTTTATGACTATAATGACTGTTCATGAGATAATGAAGCTAACTGAGACTCGAAAAGTGGCGTTTAACTGAGTGTCCTTACGGCTGTTTTTACCCTGTAGCTGAAGTGTAAGGAATAAGGACATGGTTATGTGTAAGTTATCATGCATCGTGTATGTAAATAAAAAGGAAAGATGGGAGGAGAATTAACGCATGAAAAGTTGTGTTGTGGTTCAGCTTGAATACAGATATTAAGGTCCCAGAACTCTGGACCCTTCAGATCCAATGTTTGGATCTTCACGAACCTTCGATCCGGTAAAACCCGAAATCCGAATCACGCCTGTGTATCGGGGACTGGGTCCTGTGTGTTCTAAACACCTCAGCGCCACAAGATCCACTGCTAAGAATCGGTCGTTTTGGACGTGCTCACCTCCACCGTAGCCGGTGCCGCCGGCGGCCGCCGCCGCCGCCCAGGCGGCGTACCCGCTGGCGCCGCCGCCGCCCCCGTCATCGTCGTCATCGTCATCCTCTCGGCCGTAGGTGCGCGTGCCCCAGTCGTCCCGACCGCTGCCGCCGCGGCCGAACTTGTGACTGCGCGCTGAGAATGGGACGGGCGAGTTAGCGTCTTCATCTGGTAACTAAAATGCAATAAAATATAGTCGTAAGAGCAAATAGTTGAGCGAAATTCCAACAATAAAATCAGAAAACAATTACTTCTCTGATTGACTTACTGCACAAAGTACACAATATTTCACCTGTATATCTTTGATGTTTTACCAGGGACCCCCCTCCCCCTCCCTCTTCCGTTGCACAAACTGTCGAAAACACACACACACACACCCCAATCCTACCACAGAGACGTTACCCGGCGCACGCCGTCGTTCGTGGTAACTCACTCGACATTGAAAGGTCCTTGGTTTCCGAGGTAGGGTAGTTGCACTTGGGGCACGGCATGGCCGCGTTCTTCTCGTATTTGACGCCTTTCCGACGCACGTGGTCGTCACAGAAGCACACCTTGCAGCGGAGACACGAATGTTGGCCCAGCTTGTTGCACGACTGACCTGCGAAACCATGATTGGTTGGTTACTATGACAACGGCCAGCCTTTTTATGGGAGGGGCAGCATAGTGTAAAATCATACCCTTTTAATGAGAACTCTGGGCTGGCTGCCAACACAACACTCATATAGGCGGGAAAAACTGAACATCAGATCCAGACACTCCTACGCCTATGACTCTCCGAAACATCAGCCACTCACATTTATACGTTTCCGACTCGAGAATCTGGCAAGAAGCTTGGTGCTCGAACTGGTCATCTTCACAAAGGAAGTTGTCACAGAAAGAACATCTGAAACAAAGCACAGCAATTAAATATTAGGCACAGTCAGACACTACCACATCCAACCTACACGCCAGTGCTTCTCTTTACTACATTAAGTTTTGTATACCCCTTATTTTTCCAGGAACATCTGAGTGACTGAGAGGACCAGACAGTCTTACGCTGCCAATCCGCGCCGTCCCCGTCCCCAGTGGAGAGTGTAGACCCCTCCACTCTGACTGGCAGAGGTTCCCACTGGAATTAACCCCTCCACCCAATGACACGAGGCCCCCAGTGAAAACCCCTCCACTCACTGGCAAAGGTCCCCAGTGGAAACCCCTCCACTAACTGGCAAAGGTCCCCAGTGGAAACCCCTCCACTCATTGGTAGAGGTCCCAGTGGAGCCCCCTTTACTCACTGGTACAGGTCCTCAGTGGAAAAGAGACCCTCTACTCACAGGTAGAGTCGGCCGCCGTGGTCCCAGACGTCCCTGCGACACTCGGTGCACAGCGCCTCCCTCAGAGGGCACCCGCACGCGTGACTCTGCAGGCACTTTCGGCCGTGGCACACCCACGCCTCGCAAAAGTCGCAGATGGCTCCCTGTCGGACACAGGGCGCGACGTCAGCGCCACACTCACGCGGTGGTCACAAATGAAACTAGTAGTTCGTAAGACTGCCGCCAACGTGACAGTGGACACACTATCGGCGACGTGCACGTTAGCTTTCACTCGATGTGTGGTATTCCGTATTAGACCGGTACTTGGCATAGCAAATTTCCCCATTCCAACAGATTCCGGTTAAAATCTGTCTAAAAACCTACAATTGATGAGGTACGATTGAATAATGCAAAAACAATCTCAAGCAATGGGCATTGGGCAGTTGCACGCATCGCGTCACAAATCCGATTTAAACCGATGGCGTCAAAACATCCCGCGATACAGCACCAGCTGGACTGTGCGGACTCAGGTACTCGCAGAGAACGGCCAGAACTCATCATCATCACCAACACCGTCACCATGTTCACTCACCACCATCGCCAGGCCAGTGGTGAAGACGCCGGCGTGCTTGATGACGCAGTCACCCGTCTTCAACATGCACTTGACCTTGCCGCACTCGGCACACTGCGGTAGCCGCTGCACCGCCTGACAGAAGTAGCAGAACGCCCGGTTCTTCTGCTTCCTGGAAACGCATAAAAGGTTCGGTCAGAGATGTAGCGATCTCTGCTACGACTTCTTTAGTCTGTAGGATGAATGGGAGACAGTTCATCCGTCACCAGCACTACAAGGGTCGGTTACTGAGCAAAATGACTATCCAGTAGTGGCATCAGCTAGTGCCTTAAAGTGTGACGGGCAACTGGAAAAGTTGAGCTAGAGGATCAGTCCTTAGTGGTTAAAATGGTGCTGAATACGTTTAGAAACCTAGCAGATGTCATGGCAGTCCGAACCGAACAACACGCTCGGGTACCACGGAACAGAGCGGAAAACTGTGACAACGACCCGAGCCGCCCAGCGACTGAACTGGGGCGATCAGATGCGCTACGGGCGCCGGGGCGGAAATCGGGAACGTTTCAACGCCATCGGTGCGCCGGTCGGCTGACTTCAAACGGAGGGAGAAACAAGGTTCACACAATAGTTCTGCCTGCTCAACAGACACTGACGACGGAAGGGTAACTAAGAAGTAAGATAGTTTGGTAGCTCAAAAAAAACTCATTCTAGGCGGGTGAAATATGTTTAGTATTGTATACTAGCACCCGCACAAAAGACCACCACTTTATTTAAGGGTTAGGTTGTAATTTCTGTCGCATATTTTGTAAGTACCATCACATCTACGGTGCAACTTTTCATGGTCGCACCACAATCACCCCTGGCGAGCCTCTCCCCAACGCTCGCACGAAGCATTCACACACCCACTCGCCCCCTCTTTTTCGTCAGCATCACATAGCCCCGGGGCACACCGGGGGTCAAAGAGTCACAAGGCAATAGACGCACATAACCCGCGTCGGCCTGAGACCCCGTGACGTGACTAGTGGTGTCAATCGGAACTTGAATCTTCGGAATTCCGATTTTGTCCAATGTCCAATTCGGAATTCGGTTGGACAATGACAGCAGGCTTTGGACAACTTTGGACAATCGCGCCTGGCTACACCTCAACATTTTTATAAAGTAATCGTGTTTAACATTGCTTGGCTACTAGAAAGCTGAGCTTTCGATATGCTTACCACTTTTGAGCTGGTAACGATATTAAAAGCAAATTAAATAACGGTGTTAAGTGTAAACTATTGCGTAGATGTCGGACATCTTTGGACAAATGGCTGGCTTGGACATTTTTGGACGGACAGTCGACGTAAGTATTGGACATTGGACGTACATTGGACATATGTTTTCTGAAATTGACATCACTAGACGTGACGCTCCGGGCGGCGGCCGTCACGCGTCGGCGGCCGGCGTCACAGAGCGTGACAGTGCCGACGCACGCGTGACGAGTGCGGCGCGGCGCAGTCAGTGCGGCGCTCAGTGCCGGGCCGGGAGGGTTAGCTGGCCGGCGCTCAGTCGCCGACAGGGGCAGGGTAGCGCCGAGGAAGGCGAAGGTGTGTCCCCCATCAGTGTTGCAAAAAGAGTGCCTAGGCGGAGATCGAACATCAAGCGACTCGCAAAACAGAATATCTTCGGTTACGAAGCAAAACTTAAAGCGTCTTCTGTGTCCGCCTGGAGCATCCAAGTATAAGAAAGAGTGAACACTGAACAGTGCGGAGATTGCCCGCCGTGACTTCAAACAACATTGTACTTTACGGGCGGGTCTATAGTGGTTCCGCCATTCTTGCAGGAATATCAACTCGGAATTCTCCAGAGCGACACCACCGCCACGACTGCCTGAGCGAGCACACCGTCAAGCTGCCACATCCCCACACCACCGCTCACTCGACTCGAACGCCGCCCGGTTTGCCGCGTCCGCCTCCGCTGCCCACCATGCCGACCGCTCTCCGCGTCACGCTGGCCCTGCTGGCGACCCTGCTTCCCCGGATCAGCGGTCTGACCTGCCACGTGTGCCGCTCCCAGCCTGCGTCCGCCTCCGGCCCGGCGTCCGCCAACTCCACCCTGGGTCTGATCCTGACACTGGCGCTCCACTCGCCGCCCGACTGTCGCCAGTTCAGCGCCGACCACCCCCAGTTCCGCACCGAGTGTCCGCTGGGACTCAACAGCACCTGCGCCGTGGCGGAGGATTCCGCCGGACGGCGCGTGAAGACGTGCTTCGGCGCGGCGCGCGGCGCCCAGGGGTGTTTCACGGAGCCGGGCGGCACGTTCTGCCTGTGTCGCGGCGATCTGTGTAACGAGGCAGCTGTCGGCGCGAGGTCTGTGAGTGTGGTGCTGGTGGTGGGCCTGGTGACAGCGCTGACGGTGTGGTGAACGAGGACCAGGGGTGTGTCTGTGGAGGGTTACGCGCTACGTGCCTACTTACGAAAGTTTCGCGACGCCTGCGAAGGAAGCGATCGAAGGAAAAGAAAAGAAGAAAAATACCAAGAGACATTAGAAGAAAAAGAGATAACCGGCTATATTATAAAGTCGACAGCAGGAACGGCCAGCCCTTCCATAACAGACTTTCTACCGCGGCGTAGCATGGTCACACTCACGGCTAAGGCTTGCGGCGTATCAGCTCGCACAGAACATCCAGGGCGCCAGCATCTCCACACCACACCAGCCGGCCTGCAATCACGCCCTTGGTTCAGCCCTCGCTCGCCAAGCGGCATACCCATGCGGGTACAAAAGATCATCCACCGCCACCGACGGTACGTCGCGTACGGCCGCGGAGACCATGTTAACTGGACACTTGAAACAGAGTGCATCGTAGAAGTGTTGGTCACACAGTATAACCGAGATCCGAGGACAAAGTCCGAATTAGAAAGGGCGTGGACAGCCTTGGTGTGGACTGTGGACAGCTCGATACACTGTGTGAATGCCCACCAGCCACGGACAACGTGCTGACGGCGCTTAGTAGATAGTTACGAGGTCAAAGACATAGTGACTGTGTACGTCGGTCAAAGACAGCGGTCTACACAGTGGGACCGACTGAGCGAGGCCGAGCGCGGACAGCGGGCGTATCGTGAGACGCCAACGAAATGATATTGATGAATGGCATAAAGTTATTTAATGTGTGAACGAACCTGCGGTAGCCAAGTCGACTGTAATGTGTATTGGTGATATAAAAGCATACTAGCTGCGTATAGTAGCGAGTAGTAGATAAGGCAAGCAGCTGACTGCGCTGATATCTAATAAAGTACATATTACCCATATCGCGCGAAGAGGTGACTGTGTGTGTGTGATTACTGAACGTTGGTAGCGTTACATCAACCAAACCAAAGAACGCAAGTTCCAGAAATGAGGCAGCCTACATCATTACTTTAACCTTCGCCCCAGTGGGGGGCATGGGTGGAGCTTTTCCAGGAAAGTTGGTGGGGCAAAAAGTTGTCAACCCTACAATGTCTGATTGTTAAGTTTGATAAAATTCAACAATGCATCAATTCTTTTCATTACAGAGATAATATTTTGCATTACACAGACATTTCAAAGCTCCTCAATGCGAAAAACATAGGTATGCTAAGCAGTAAAGTCCTGCAAATCGGCTTAAGTTGGTGGGGCAAAACGCTTATTGGTGGGGCAAAATGGCAAGTTGGTGGGGCAGGCGCCCCACCAAGTGAATAGGAAGCTCCACCCCTGGTGGGGGGGGGGGGCATATGTTACCACCCTGTCGCGTTTTTTGCGTGTGAATAAAAAACCGCGGCGCGTAGCGCCGCGCCGCTTGGGGTAGCTTTTGGTACATCAATTTTGGACAATGTGTGAAATTTTTGACCCCAGGTCATGTCAGGTCAGGTCACCAGGTCAAGTTAACTGACCAAGCCTAAAAAAGTTTACAATCATGTCCAGCCTGCAGTGTTTGTCAGAAAGGTTTTAAACTTGGTGGATTGCATGCTGTTATGGGCGCCTACAATTTGTATATCTCGGATTTTTTATATCTGTGACCTAAGGTCAGGTCAGTGGCGTGACCTTTCCATTACAAGTCAATGGAGAAAAATGAAAATGCCTCTAGATCCGTGTGTACGCATCGGAACAGTCCAAATATTTCAGAATCACAATGATTTAGTCCACTCGTGATGACCAAGGTGTCATTTTTGCTGATAGCCTCTAGACAGGTCATCCGAGGTCACTTGAGGCTACAAACAGTTTTTTGCCAATAACTCGCGATTGGAAAGAGCTAGAACGCTGGGGATGGTCTCATTGTGTTTGTCTTGTTGAGACGCATCGACTGATATGCAACATGACCTTTTCCGGTAAGGTCATGACCTTGACCTGAGGTCAAATTTTCAAGTTGACCTTTCAAGGCAAATTATAGTTCATTCGACGCGTCTCGGCGAGGTGAACACGATTCTGGCCATAGAAATCTCGTGGCTTTTTGTAGTCGAAAGTTATTGTCGAAAAACACTTTTCGTAAAAACAACTATTTTTGGAGTTTTTGCCCTCTGGAGGCTAAACCGTTGACCTGAGGTCAATATTGATAATGACCTTTTCAAAAGAAGAGTTCAAAAGCTATCGTTTGCTCTTCCATGCGTTTTTCTAGCTACCATAGTTCCTGAGATAGCGGCATGTTTTCTGAAAAATATTATGACAATTGGCAAATTTTGACCTTTGATGACCTCTGGTGACCCCAATATTGCTCTAAGGTGAAACATGACCGAAATACTTTCAAACGTACGCATTGAGAGCTATCGACTGCTTTTTACCGCGTCTTTCTAGCCCTCTTAGTTTTTGAGTTAGAGGTGGGTGGTAACATATGCCCCCCCCCCCCCACTAGGGCGAAGTTGGCTGAGACCGCCACTGGGGCGCGGGTTAACACGTTTCCTCTATGCGAGATTCGTCACACAGATGTCGCAGTTGAGTTAGTCATCTAAATAGACGTAACAGGCCATTCAGAGCGCACTGGTAATGAATGCCGCCGCCCCATTGTCCATCACGCTGTTTGTATAGACAGCTCTGAGCGGCGCCCCGGACGTAGATACGTCAGACCGCAGCGACAAGCTCGCTACCAGCAATAATGAGCCAATGCCAAGGGCGTGTTTGTCAACGGTCCCATTCGCACGATAAGAGCGGAATGTGGAGCGTATAGGCGCGCATAAGCCACGCTCCACATATACCGTCATCATGCAGCAACAGCGAGCGAAACGGAATGTGAGGCACATTTGCACGACAGGTCAACGCTGGTTCAAATTGGCCATCGTGTCAGAAAAAAAAAAACGCTTTCATACACTGACTTAGTAATATAATTAAGTTTTCGCTGACATTTAAATAAAGAGAAAGCGCATGACAAGCGGACTTGCGGCGATGGCACAGACCTTATATATAGCCTTGGCACAGACTGGTTTTAGTTTGTGTGAAAAGGAGAGTAGAGCCGCCTGCTTCAGCTAAGTTGTGTTAACCCGCGCACCGACGGGGGGGGGGGGGCAGTTGACCGCACCCCCCACCCCCTGAGGTTTTTCGTGAATAGCGCAAAAACCGCGGCGCCTAGCGCCGCGAAATTTGGCATGACCTTTCCCTCATTAATTTTACACATGGTGTGCAAGTTTGAACCTCCTACCTTTTAAGGTCAGGTGACCAGGTCACTTCGATTCACCCAGCCTCAAATCACTTTTTACAACTTTATCATCGTGTCAGAGCTACAGTAGATGACGGAGGCCTTTGAAAGTCGCAGGATGTAACGAGGTCATTAGTAGCTACAATTTTTACATCTCGGAATTTAAATATAGATGACCTAAGGTCAGGTCAATTTCTTGGCCTCCCCATTAGGTATAAGTCAATGGTGGAAAAATCAACTCCCTGTTTTTTTCACTAAAACGCGTCGGAATGGCCCAACATACCATGAATGACTTAACCCTCGCCCATGTAGGGGGGGGTTGGTGCAACCCCCCCCCCCCTGAGGTTTTTCGGAAATAGTGCAAAAACGGCGGCGCGCAGCGCCGCCAAATTTTGGGTACCTTATGGGGCAAACCTCGCGCATCTTTTGATAAAAAAAATTTGACCGGGTCATGTCAGGTCACGGAGTTATGACGTCACAAAGGGAACAGCCTCCGGCCGGATTTTCACAAACTGAGTGCCAACGCCCGAGGTTTCCTGCCGGTGGTACGGACATCGGTTGATGGATCGTGATGAAACTTCCCATGCATGTTGGGGCAAGTATTGGCTATCATATGGTATAAGAAACTTGACCGGGTCAGGTCAGGTCACGGAGCTATGACGTCACAAGAGGAACAGCGTCCGGTTCTATTTTTGAAAAGCGCCCGAACCACTATTTTGCTAATTCTTGTCACCTCAATGGGAATATGCAGCAATATTAGCTTCTATAGGGAGCAAATGGACCTCCCAAATCCAAAAATACAATCAGATTTCAAAAATTTAAATTTTGATTTTTCGAATTTATGCCGCCGACTGTGACCTTGCCGACTTCCGGCGCTCCCAACGCGCCATTTTTAGAGCTAGGGAAACGAAATACATACCAAACGATAGAGAATTGATCAAGGAACACGATAATGAAGATTTTAAGACAATATCTCCCACCGTTTTGCCGCAATCGCCGCGGAAAGTTGAAAAAAGTATATTTTTCCGAAAATTTGACCTTTGACCGGTCAAAAGTAGGTCAAATGTTGACCTAGGACCAAAAAATATACCACCAATCGCGAGATCTCGGCGAGAGCAATCCGTTGGTCTTTTCCGCTAAGCTCTACGACGCTCCGTTTTCAAACGCCAAGGGGGGGGGTCGCACCAACCCCCCCCCCCTGCATGGGCGAAGGTGGCAGATCGCCGTTTACGGGCGAGGGTTAAGATACAATCAACCTTGACTACCTTGAGACCTTTTTTGCTCTTGGGCAACTGTAAGGTCATGTGACGTCATCAAGAGTCTCCAAATATTTTTTTGCTAATAACTCCTCACAGGAACAAGATACAGCCGCGTGGATGGTCTCATCGTGTTCAGCTCGTCAAGGCGCATCGAAAGATATACATGATGACCTTGAGGTCGCGTGACCTGAGGTCAACCTTTGACCTTGACCTTTCGAGGTCAAGACATATATCATTCGGAATCAGATGCGATTGACGAGAGGATTACGATGGTGCCCTTAGTTTGTCCCTAGCTTGGCTACTTCGAAAGTTATTCGAGGAAAACTCTCATGTCTAGCGCCGCAATTTTGACTTTTTTACCCCTGTGACGTCATCTTTCACCTGACCTGAAAATGACCCCTCCCCCGTCGGTGCTAAGTTGGGGCACACCCCCGTCGGTGCGCGGGTTAACTTTTTCAAATTTCTTAAATTTTCATCGGATCCACATCTTTTCCGGTATTATACCAAGCGTTCAATGGGTTCTTTCGCCTATCGTCAAACAGATACTATCTCCACAAAAAAACAAACAAACAAACAAAGGTGACCAAACGACAGGCGGCACCTGGTGAGCCCCGTAACAGTTTGCATCACCCACTCACATTCGGTGGATGAAATGTGGCAAGTCAGCAAAGAAGAAAGTCACGCAACAGCTCCAGACGTAAGCCTCTCAAGGACCCCACGGTACTGTGCCCCCAAACCATAGGTAATTATCGCCGTCTGCGTTATTATGCATGATTGTGTGTTTAGTGTTTACGCTTGTGAAAAGTGCGCCTTGAGAACGAGGTCAGAAACGAAAGTACCCGTGTTCTGTCATCTAAACGACACTCCAGTCTGAGAAAATAGAGGATTAGCAAACTTCTTCAGATGAATGTGTACGTGATACTCCGGTACTAACTTCACAACATCTTTTACTTTTACTCAGAGCTACGATGATTCATTTGGATACCTGAGAAACGACAAAAAAGGAAACGTTACAGATTGCCGTGTTTTCAGTTAAGTCCGGTAGGTGGTAAATATTGCTCTAATGAGTAATGATTACATGTGAGCTGTGGGATTCTACGAAAAGATACTGCACAGTTTCAACTTTCAACCCATTAGTGCACCCCAAGTCTTGATCAGCGCATCACACCACGGTAATACTTCCTCCATGGGACCCGGCGAGGTCACTGGGCCGGGTCCCCCTGGCCGTCATTGGACCGGGTCTTCCGGCGGTCACTGGACCGGGTCTTCCGCCGGTCACTGCTAGCGGACGGACTGGTGGTGGCGGGTCACTCGGGCCAGTCTGTCACTATCGGAGCGGCACGGCACCTGCCGGGACCACGCCACGCTCCGGCGGCGCCGGCCGGTCACTGCACGGGTCGCCGCCGGGAGGGCAGATCGGGACGACTCAACTGGAGGGGATGCCTCGCATCGTCGCAGTGATTTATGTGGAGAAAATAGGCAGGATTTTGCATACATTGACAGTTGAAAGAGTCTTGAAAATAATGACCACTACTATAATACAAATATGTGTAAATTTTTCTACCAAGAGACGCTTCTTATGACGAAATACTCCCTGATCGAGAGATCCAAAAAAGATCGCAATTCTCAGGGAAATTCATTAATTCGGAGGCCCAACGTGACCAAGGTCACCAGCCATCATTCGACAGTCTAGCATGTCCAAAAACTACGAGCAGGCCCGCCGCGAGTCGACATCTCCTGGCGTCTCAGCCCGTCCTCAGCGGTGCCGTACCGCGCTGTGCCACCGATCCAGGCCGGCAGCACGTCCCGTGCTCCGCCGGTCACGGCCCGTGTCCCGTGCCGCACTGGTGACCCCAGCCAGTGGGGAGGGCCCACGGAGTTCAGCAACAGCACTGGAGCGTGCCCCATCGGCGTGCCACGATGCATGGGTGATGATGGTGTAGAGAGGAGATAGGAACACATCTCCGGACATGTAACTTGAAACACTCGCTGGCACTGGCCAGTGAGGATTTTGAAACATAAATTGAAAAAGAAATATGTGAATTAGATTAGCGTTTGATGGCGCTGATATAGGTGGCCATTAGAAAATTGCAATAATCATAAATGCCACACAAACACCCCTAACTTACATCTATCTCAATATAGGTAGTGAATGTGATTTTAAAATGGCTAACATGCATGGCAAGTGAATAGATTAAGTGTGCAACTATTCTAACATTTAAATGTAGAAACTAAGATCAGGCTTCAAATGAAGCAGGACCAGTAAGTGAGCTGTGATAAACAATGGGTATTAACTGTTAACATAAAAATCACTTACTTTTGACATTTATCACATTCCATCACAGCATTGCATGGCTGGTCAATGAGACTCCTGTTGGCTTTGGATGCGCTGATCTGCTTCTGTCTTTCTTTCTGCTTCTCGGCTTTCTTTCTCTGCCCAGTCTTCTTCTTTGGCATTTTTGTCAGATCAGTGAAGAGAAGTTAAAAAAATAAACCTGCAAATAGAACAAACTGTTATCAGTAATTAGATGGACAGCATGTCATTGCCAAAGGTACACACCTGCCACTTAAAAAAAAAAACTCACATTATGAAACAATTTGAGAAAACCTGCCTAGTTCATGACAGCCATAAACCAGTATAACGCCTTATGGGGCGATTAACGGAGCGAGCGGGACGGTGGGTCTTGCACGTGCGAAATTGCGAGGGGGTACCTCCAACTGACTTGTGCACGGCACCCTACTAACCGGTCTCTAGCGATGTGCCAAATTTGAGCACAATCGGCTCAGCCGTTCTCGAGATCTGGAAGCGGCACCCTGCACGTGCGCACGTGCAAAATGGGTCCCAACTGACTTGTGCACGGCACCCTACTAACTGCTCCGTAACCGTGTACCAAATTTGAGCGCAATCGGTCCAGCCGTTCTCGAGATCTGGAATCGACCCCTGCACGTGCGCACGTGCAGCAGCACCCCAACTCTGGCACATGGATATGCATTGCCTAGTGGGTGCCTACCTACATGCCAAATTTCAGCGCAATCGGCCCAGTAGTTACCTAGATATTGCAACAATTACAAAAGTGACACCTCTTCGTTTTGCACGTGGCACGTGCATAAGGGGTCACCCACATGCATCGTGAATAGTCCAATACTTGGTAGAAGGAATGAAGCTACCCTACAAAAATTACCGCATGTAAATCGGTCAAGTGGTTGCTGAGATATAAGCGTCGCAGAATCGTGACCACGGCCGGCCGGCCGCTCATACTCAGAAATTTCCGTTATTCTACGTAAGACTCCGCTCGCTTCGCTCGCTCCGTAATCATAGCAAACTAAAAGCGCATGTTAATTAAGCTATTACATGCAACAATCATTGCTAATCTATAAGGTTCAAAGGTCTGACTGACCCTGAGGAAAGAAGAATTATTGACATGGAAACTAGGCAGTCATCGTAGGATTTAAGCCAGTCGGAATTCGGATCGCTTAAAGTGCAAACATAGATAAGGCACAAGATGAGCTATAGGAACAAAGAGTCAAGAGGAAAAATAAATAGCAAGGTGATATTTACATCTGGCTAGCGATCAAAGTATCGAGGCTTTGTATGCGCAATTCAATAAAGCTCGTTAAATAATAAGACAAGCTTTAACCCTCGCATGTGTGCGGCGTTTGCCAGCCTCTAATGTGTAGGGGGGGGGATCGGTTGGACCCGACCTCTCCTTGCCGTTTGGCCCCTGATCAAGCTAGAGCTTCGCGGAAAAAAACAAGCGTGTTGCCCGTGACGAGAGGAAGCCGATGATACCTAATTTTTAGGGCCTAGGTCATTGGTTGACCTTCCAGGTCAGGTCAATGACCCAAAAGTCGGGAAAATCGGAACCTGTTAGAAAGTCGTAAAGTGTGGCTGCTTTGGGTTTTTCGGGGTGCTCATCACCAACATCGTGTTAGTTTTGATCACAGATGATGTCTTTAAACATTTAGACCAGGTCGGGTCAGGTCAGGTCAGGTCAACCAGTAGGGGTCGTGACGGGTATTCGTAGTACGTGTCAACCGCCTAACAGCTCCGTAACATGTTGCGTAGGCACCAAAACTACTTCGTAAATGTTCAAATGGTTTCTCAATTCGAATTCAGTTTAAAAAAAAAACTAGCCTGGAAACATGTGAACTCGAAAAAGTGAATCGAGGTCACCAAAGGTCAATGACCTGACCTTCAGGGGACATTGACTTGACATCCACCCTAATGCATGGGAGCAACATCAAATCACACGTTTGAACGTTTGAAACCACGAAAAGCTTGAACCACGCGCGGCTAATGCCAGCCGACATACGCCGAATCGCGATTCCGGTCAAACATGGCCTCAAGAAATAAGTCACAGGTCAAAGGTCACTTGGGTCAGGGTCATGAAATTTTCAGAGTAGGTGTAAAATTGATTAGCTCGAGGGTACTGAAAGTTTCGTTGCGATGGGCCACTTTTTCCGCGAGTTATAAGCGAAAATTCCATGGGGGTGGGTCCATCCGACCCCTCCCCCTACACATGCGAGGGTTAAAATCCAACTAAAATAATAATGAAACTTGTTCATCTGATAGGAACTAACCAGTGGGCTTTAGCACTTGGAAAAAGTTGAAATTCTGCATGATGTTCAACTTTCAAGACCGTTTCTAAATTAATGACCCGTAGATGCAATATAGTGAAGCTAACCCCGCGTTCAATGTCTCTCGGACGACAAAGATTCTACGTCGTCCGGCCAATCATGTTCAAGGTCAGCAGTGGCTCGGCTGTGGTTATGGAATGGGATTGGCCAGACAGTGTAGAATCTTCATCGTCCGAGAGACATCGAATGCGGGTATATATCTTACAACAATATTCTCAGGAAAATGAAAACAAAATAAAGAACTACCCAAAAGACCTTACTTTAACTTCTGAATCTAGATATTTAGTAGTACTAGCCACTAGGTAGGTATTACATTCTTGGAGCATCTACTCATGCTGGAAAGGCTTGATAAAATATTAATCTCTGAAGTTCAGTCCTGTCATTCAGTAGAACCTTCTTATCACTGAGTGTCTGATATTTCAGTCATTATGTTATAATCAGGGATGCGGAGCCGGGGCCGGAGCAGCCGGAGCCGGAGCCGGAGCCGCCGGAGCCGGCATATTTTGCCCGGAGCTGGAGCCGGAGCCGGAGCCGTGAAACAATAAAGCCCGGAGCCGGAACCGGAGCCGGAGCCGTCAAAAAAGGGGGCGACTCCGGCTCCTTTTCTTAAGAGGAAACAATTATTTACCTAGTTCGGTTTGACAGCACAAGGCGTAAAACAATGTGGTATTCAAAATAACCTGGTTATACAAATACAGAAGCAGGGTGTACCAATCCCATCGCCTTTTTTTTCTTCCACCCGTATTTAATTGATCGCATAGGGAATGTAGGTACTGAGTAGAAGCCGGAGCCGGAGTCGCCGGAGCCGGATCATTTTACTTGGAGCCGGAGCCGATTTTTCTCTCCGGAGCCGGAGCCGTCTGAAATTTCCACGGCTCCCATCCCTGGTTATAATCTTTCAACACTCAGTTGGCTGTAATAAAAAAGCATCACACTGACTGAGACAAATCCCTATTAATAGGTAGGTAGCTTATGAGCAAATATACAGGGTGTCCCAAAAGTAAGGTCATGATTTAAAACTTAAATATCTCGAGAAGTAAGAGTCCGAATCACTTCCAATTTTAACACGTGTAAGGTACATCCATAAAATTATTTTCTTGCATGCTTAAACCATTTTTGATCATAACTACACCGAGCAGTAGGCATAAAACTTAGAAGGTCGAAATTCAACTCTTAGAGAGGGTCCGTCATTAAAACAAAGGGTAAATACCGCCCAGTTTTCGGCCCTAAGCAGACCCTATCAGCTCGCCCTATCTCTGGACTCATGCATAGTTTCGCCTCAACCGGTAAAACGTCAGAAAAAAGATATAATGTACGCACAGGGCATGTATACTTAGCCACCTGTGCTTCGAGGTCCTGAGGACGACAGCGGGAATCGGGTGAAAATAAATCAAGAGAGGTGGCCGAGAGTCCTCCCAGTGGTTCTTCCGCTCGTCGCAACGCAGCTGTGCCGACACCATCAACCAGCAGTGGTTTCAGCAGGATGGAGGCTATGCTTGCACCGTCCTGAAGATCATGCATTGTCTCCGAGAGTGCATGTGAGATCGCGTAATTTTCAGTCAGGGCAACGCCATTGAATGGCCTCCGCGGTCACCTGACGTTACACCTTCATATTTTTATTCTCTGGGTACACAACGGAAAGGTTGTCTTTTAGGACAACCCAACGAGCCGGGAAGAACTAAAGGATGATCCCTCCGAGCAAACATAAGCGGCATCTCACCAGAGAATCGCTCCAGAATAGTGGAGGAAGTAAAACGCAGTCTATTCGTGCACGCGGCCCGAAATGGTAGCCATGTAGAAAAGCAGCAAATGTGGGGCTACGAGCCAATGTATTGACTCATATGTATATCAGAATAAAATTTTATAAAATGCTCTTTCATATGATGTCCTATTTATTTCTATCCATCGCGTATTTTTGGCGGTGTGGCCAAAACAAATGATGACCTTACTTTTGGGACACCCTGTACTTGTCGGGTATACTCATGCTGGATAAGGTACCTGCCTTATGCCTACCTATTTATCCTTGGTTATAGGTTAAAAACTATGGGTTGAGACTTCCCATGGCACCCACCTGGTGTCTAACTGAGCAAAAGTCCAACTTGTCATCTAACTTGGCATCTAACTGGTGGACGGAGACTTCCAAGCTAGATGGGTCTTAAGTTAGCCATCGGCGATGGCTAACTTAAGATGGCCCATTGCCAGATGGACGCAGTCGTTGTCCAGCTAGACTCATGTAAGACTTAGACGCATCGGTATTTATTTACTTTAGGTCCGCAAAACAGAGGGGTAAATAAAAATCATTCACACGATACTCTAAGACCTCCTGATTTCATTTCTGATACTTATTCCTTCTAGAAGCCAATTTGAAAGCACCAGTACACTAGTATCACCAGTATCACCACCAACGGCTCCACACCTCCGACCGGAACTGCCGTCAAAAGACCGTTTGCGCGGCGCACCCGCTACAAATGGTCCAACCAAGGTTGAGCGAAATTACAGATGATAATAAATTGTAAGGAAAGTGACGTCAAAATAATCGCGGCAGAGCGGTGCAGTGCCGAAGGCAATGCCTTAGGAGAGATTACAGGCAATGGTAAGTCAAATATTTTTAGGTTAAGTGGTTGTGTATCTGGCTTCAGGCCGAAGGCCTGAAGCCTGATGCATAACCACTTAACCTAAAAATATTTGACTTACCATTGCTTGCAATCTATTCATGCAAGTCACTTTTTCCTTTTTCCCCAGTAGGCAAACATCAGTAGGTCAGGTTAGGTAAGGTTTGGTTATGTTCTGATCATTTTTTCATGCTCTATTACCTTTGCTAAATATTTTCTCTTTTTTATTCACCGTTTTTCTTGTG